GTTTGGCAAAATAATGTATTAAAACGCCAAAAAGAGAAATTGCCAACAATTAATTCTAACCGGCAAATATTTTTGTTTCAGGAGAACGAGCCTAAAATGTAACCGGTGGCAGCGGTCAACAGTATGGACGTTCCATGGACTTCCCTTGTCATTCAATTTATTTTACTTTTGTTCGTGCTACAGTTTACGTCGACTTTTAAACAGACAGGTAAAGTTGAGAGATTCAAACGTTTGATATATGAACGTAAAGCATAGCAATAATTCATATGGAAATATTTTCAATTAACACTTTGTTTTGGATTTAATACTTTTCATCTAAAAGTTTTAAATAGAATATTGTCGTTAAAGCGAGAATTATCAACCTATAAGGCGCGTCTTCTATTGTGTGGTGGAAGAATTATATAAAAAGGTAAAATCATAAAGCGATAATGCAGAAGAGATCCGGGCAGACAAAAAAATTTCTGTCTCTATAATATTTTTCGACGATGTTCCTACGGAATGTCGGCAATTGCCATGTTTATAACATTATTCTACTGATCTCGGTTTTGGGCTACGTATAGCGATTGGTCTGCAAATTCTTCAACCAGAAGAGTTTCTTTTGCCCTATCCATTTCTTTCCTACATTTTTACCATTAAGAATTAGCCAAAGAACTCATATATTGGTCCTTTGATTATCTGCCCAAGATGTTCTAGTTTACGCCTCTAAATCATATTTAACAAAAGGGATGTAAATAACATTAGGTACCGGCAGCGGTGTGCAAGGGGGTGCAATTGCACCTACCTGTTCAAAAAAAAAGTACATAGAAAACATTACCTATTTTTTATCCAACTGAATCAGCGGGACGGTAATGCTTTTCAGGTTTATGTACAATATGCATATGTGTATATATGTATGTACATGTATATTTTTGTATGTATGTATAATTTATGGATTCAACCGTTCATCATCATCATCATCCAGCCTTCATTTATCACGTCCACTGCTGGACATAGGCCTTCCATAAACTCCTCCATGCTTTGCGATTGTGTGCTCTTTGTTGCCAATTTTTAGTGATACGCCTGATGTCGTCAGCCTAAAGTGTAGGTGGTCTTCCTCTACTACATTTGTCTGCTTTTGGCCTCCAATGTGTAATTTTACTCGTCCATCATGAGTCATGCATTCTCGCTACATAGTCTGGCCAATTCCATTGTAACAATAAAACACTGACAACTTTGTTTTCAAAACTTCCACAAAATATATTACAAAATCTTATCACTACAGCTGTTTTGGCCTTTCTCAAGTGATCTATTTTATTATGCGTTCACACTTCATAGTCTTTAACGAAATAGGTTGAGGAGGGGAGAACTGTTTGTCTCAAATTGGCCATTCAGAATTAATGTGTTTATCTAGAAGGTGAAGTGCGTGTGTAGAATCTGTTTTTCTATTATTAAAAGCCCTTTTATGTTCTGCTATTCGTTTATTAAAATCTCTACCAGTTTGACTGATGTAAGTTTTTGGGCAGTTTCCACATTTAAGTTTTATATACCATATGTGTAAGTGCTTTTTATTTTGGCTCTTGTTGTTTTTAATATATTTGTCTAAGTTGTTGTTTGTTCTAAAAGCTGGTGTTATTCCTTTCTTTTTTATGTGATTGGCTATTTTTGTTGATATTTTAGCTGTAACATATAAAAAAGAAAGGAATATTACTAAAAAAAATTTTGTTTAAAATCCTTTATAAAAGGTATATAAAAATGCCTCAAACGGGCTATCACAAACACATTGCAAAACATGAATTTGTTGCTTGTGTGAGTCCATTTCAAATAGGTAAAGAAATAATATTAAGAAATTGTGAGTAAGTCTTATTTATTATTTCTTTACATTGCAAAACGTTTTCGGATTAAACAATCCATCATCAGTGCAAACGGTTGTACATGCTAGTAGCCACCAAATTATATGGTTAAAAACCCTTTAAATGTTACAAATTTGACGTTGTTTTACATTATTAGTATTTCTAATTTGTGATGGTTAAGTTAATGTTGGATAGGTAACATTTGTTATCAACAGGTCCTCGTAGACACTTCGTCTCAGGACCATTTTACTCATGTAGAGTCATACGCCGCCATGTTACCTATCCAACGGTAACTTAACCATCACAAATTAGAAATACTAATAATGTAAAACAACGTCAAATTTGTAACATTTAAAGGGTTTTTACCCATATAATTTGGTGGCTACTAGCATGTACAACCATTTGCACTGATGATGGATTGTTTAATCCGAAAACGTTTTGCAATGTGTTTGTGATAGCCCGTTTAAGGCATTTTTATATATCTTTTATAAAGGATTTTAAACAAAAATTTTTTGTGATATATGGTATACAGATAGCTACAGGAACTTAATTTCCTCGTGGAATTGAATATTACTAGATTTCAGAACAAAGAACAACTTAAGCAAATATATTAAAAACAACAAGATTCAAAATAAAAAGCACTTGCACAGTGGTGTATACAAACTTAAATGTGGCGACTGCCCAAAAACTTACATCGGTCAAACTGGTAGAAATTTGAATAAACGAATAGCAGAACATAAAAGAGCTTTCAATAATAGAAAAACATATTCTACATACGTACTTCACCTTCTAGATCATAATCATTCTTTTAATGACGAATTTCAAATTATTAATGTGTTGCTTAGGTGAGACTGTGCAGCTTCATGAATTTTTTCGATATTTTAAAGCAAGGAGAAACTCTGGTTCTTGTAAACCGCTCTGCATTGGAGGCCGAAATAAAATACATATTCTACACAGCGGTCCTTTTGCTAGAGCTGAGTAAGGTAACTATGGATATGTAAGCCATTCATGGCAGAAAGCTAATTTAGTATCTTTGGTTTACATAATTTTTAAAATTGTGTGTCTTGCTAGAGTTCAAGCAACATCCAATACTACAAAAGCACTTAATACTCGCAGCTCTGTTATCCACATGTTATACACGTATAGTTCTATATTTTATATAGGTTAAAAGTATGGTGAAGATGCAAATGTACCTTCCTGAAAATAATCCTGGCGGTGCCTATGTAAATACAAGAGAAAGCTTCCACGAGCACCTCCAGAGCACTGTAAACGAAATTTCACGGAATGAATATATGTTCGTTATGGGTGATTTTAACACCCGTGTGGGTGGTAACATAGTACCAGTGATAAAACAACGATATAACGAGGATGATAGAAATGAAAACGGAGATCTTCTGACGGACTCATGATATAGCAGAAATGAATTACGTATTAATAATACTTTTCCCCCCATAAAGAACAACACAAGTATACCTTTGAAAATACCACCAGACAAAGATCTATGATCGACTATTTTCTTTCAAATAGAGAGCTACTCTCTTTTCAAATTTTGGATTTAAGGGCAGTAACATCGGCATAGCAAATATCAAACAAATTGTGGGAAAACCACATACAGATTCAATTAATAGACAAAAGTTCTATCAAATATTGCATAGCTTTCAGCATTCCCCAAAAATACATTTGACTAGTAAAAGCAACAATGGACTCATCAACAGCAATTGTAAGAGTAAAAAATGAGCTCACTGAGAACTTTTCAGTAGTCAAAAGAAAAAAGCACGTAGACTGGCTGTCACCATTTAATCTGACTGGCAAATATGTGATAAGATAGCTGAATATAGGAAGAGATAATCTCTTAACAAATAAATCAATGCAGATTACCGCCTATGCCGATGACATAAGCATTATGTCTAGCAGAATAGAATAGGCTGCAGAAATAATATATTCAACATTAAACACAGGGGCAGAAGAGACGAGAAAATTAATATTCAAAAGACAAAAAAGCTAAAACAGAAAAGAACAGGGGAAAACACACGCACAGTTGAATTAGAGGATGATATTGAAACTGTAGAAAGTTTTACATATCTGGGAATTGCATTAAATACGGATGGAACAGAAGAACCATAAATTCTAAGAAGAATAGAAAAGGGAAACAAAGCTTACTTTTCACTCGCCCATGCGTTCCGCTCCAAAAATACACACTGGAGATCCAAAAACAAAAAACTTCGTGGTTTTGTACAGAGGTGAAAGAAAAACGCAAGAAAAAGAAAAAGCTTACCTGAAGTACATGTCAAACAAAAGTAATATATAAGTAATATCTAAGTAATAAGATTACAAGAGAATAAGAAATAAAACACGTACTTGTAAGAAGAATTAAAAAATGACACCAGCAATGCTTTTCAAAAAAACTGGAACATGATTTTTAAAGTTTACAAAAAGATATATGGTACTTTATAAGATGTCAAAAAGCGGAGGCGAAAGAATTAATAGATCCGAAACACATCGAAAAGAATGTATGGATTGACTATTTAAAGAAGTTATGTACAGAGAAACAACAAATGATGTTTTTTGCATTCCGAGTATGCGTTAGTGTCTATTTAAAAAGTTACAGGCTTGCTAGAAGGCACTTTTTAATCAGTTGGGTTAGTAGATAAATGACATTTATGGTCGATTTTCCTTTTCAGGGAGCGTTTCCTTCTTCATCTCCTATCTTTACTTCCCCAATATCCTACATTGATTTTATAGAAGTTAAAAAATGATTAGAATTTAAATAATGGTTACAATGGTTAAAAAACATAAACCTTTATTATTGATTGATTGACTTTTTTGTGTATTTATTTTTTTGTGTGTGTGTTAAATTCATCATGGTTTCGTTGCAATTTTTCTAGTTCATTATTTTTTTTTTCGTATCCTTCACTTATTGACCTCACTAACTTTTCTTCGAATTAGATGATGATTTCTTTTGTAGTCGAGTTATTTCTATATTATTTAAGTTGTCTTGTTTTCTCCATCATTTCGACTTTATCTATCTGTTATCCACGTTTGCGTTCTATACTGATTGTTTAACTTTGCGTTGCTGTATTGATAATAGCACTCTTTGCGTTATTCTATCTTTCTTCAACTTGATGTTTAAATTCTTCTTATCTTAGTTTTTGTACATCGTATTTCTTTTTAATGGAGGACTTTTTAATTGTCTTTAACTTTAACTTGATTCTAGATGTCAGTAAATTGTGATTGGTGGCTGCGTTGGTACTTGGATAAGTCTTGGATAACCTCCAATCTTTACTGTACCCGATTCGCCCATCTAGATTCGTTAATTCCAAGGGCTTGTAGGCCCCGACATTTCATTTAAAGTGGTACATTTTTTAGATTTCCTGATTGATATAAAGTTGTACTATTTTTATTAAGCATATATTCTTATTTTTCTTTATCCCTTTGAAGATTCTTAGTGGTCTTGTCCCATTGAAGAAACACCGAATACTCCGGGACGTAGCATGGTTTGCATTTGTCATGGAACTTTTCTTGGGAGATTTAGTACAGTAGTTTCAGACTCTCTATCTCGTTTTTGACCTCTGTTTCGATTCCCCAGGCCTTCTAACTGTAGGAACCCCTTTAATAGCTTTATACAGATCTTTGGTAACATTTACTATTTGTTCCGGTACTTTGAATTGTTTTTAACATTACCGTATAATATCTGGAATAACCATGTCATTTACTTTTTTCCAGTTTCAACTTTCCCATATATGATGTTTGTTATAATGTGTATATTACCATTTGTTGGCTTACCAGCTTATGTGCAACTTGTTTATCTTATAATTTATAATATATTAGTTCATAATTGATGGATTCGACCGTTACTTGATGGAAATTCATTTTATGTAACAATAAAACACTGAAAACTTTGTTTTCAAACTTCCACAAAATTTATTTTAAATATTATCACTACAGCTGTTTCGGCTGATTGCCTTTCTCAAGTGATCTATTTTGGCTTGGGTTTACAAATTTATAGTCTCTAATGAAATAGGTTGAGGAGGGGAGAACTGTTTGTCTCAAGTTGGTCATTCAGAATTATATCTGTGTTTTTTAATTTGTTGATTTCCATAGATTCTAACAAAGATAGCTTAAGGCCTTTATTTTGAATGTGAAGAATTTTAAATTTGTCATTAAAAGAATGATTATGATCTAGAAGGTGAAGTGCGTATGTCGAATCTGTTTTTCTATTCTTGAAAGCCCTTTTATGTTCTGCTATTCGTTTATCAAAGTTTCTACCAGTTTGACCGATGTAAGTTTTTGGGCAGTCGCCACATTGGAGTTTGTATACACCACTATTTAAGTGTTTTTTATTTTGGCTCTTGTTATTTTTAATATATTTGCCTAGGTTGTTATTTGTTCGGAAAGCTGGTGTTATTCCTTTCTTTTTTATGTGTTTGGCAATTTTTGTTGTTATTTTGCCTGTATATGTAATCGAGCAGAAGGTATTGGGTTTTTTCTCTGGTGGTGGAAATACTAATTTCAGGGCTTTCTTGTGTAGTTTTTGATTTAACATTTTATTAATTGTTTGTTCGTTGTATCCGTTGTTTACTGCTATTTGTTTAATTATATTTAATTCTGTCTCAAAGTTGTCTTTTGACATCGGAATTTCTGTTAATCTATGTAACATACTATGATAAGCTGCCAGTTTATGTTGTGTTGGATGGGATGACGAATTGTGTATAGTCGTGTCAGTATGGGTAGGTTTATGAAATATGGAGAAGTCATGTTTGTTTTGAAGTCTGCTAATTTTTAAATCTAAAAAATTTATGGATTGATTTTGTTCTGTTTCTATTGTAAATTGAATATGACTATGAACTAAATTAATATATGATAAAAATTGGTCGAGTTGCCTGTTAGTTCCTGTGAAACATACCAGTACGTCGTCTACGTATCTCCACCAATATAAAAACTGTTTGAATACGGGATGTTTTGAAATCTTTGTCTCTAGATGATCCATAAAAATATCTGATAACAATGGGCTTAGAGGATTACCCATTATAAGTCCTGCACTGTTATTTGTATATATTTTATTATTAAATTCAAAGTAGTCCTGGTTTATGCAAACTTCAAGAAGATGTAAAATTTCAGATGTAATTATTGGATTTGTACTATTTTGGTCTAAAAGGTTTTTTACTAGAATAAAAGTTTCTGTAGGAGGGATACTAGGAAAAAGATTTTTTACGTCAAATGAAATTAATCTGGAATTGTTAGGTAATTGAAAATGTTGTATTTTATTAACTAGTTCTATTGTATTTTTTATGGTAAATTTAGGTGAAAATTTAGTGTGGTCTAAAATAATCTCTAACAGTTTTTTTGAAATTTTATATGACGGAGCTGTATAAAAAGAAACTACAGGTCTTATTGGGTGATCCGGTTTGTGTAGTTTAATGAAAGAATATAATTTAGGAGGCTGTGGGTTCCTAATATTGAGTATTAATAAATCAATAGAAAACAACATCGTGTTTACAAAAGCAGACAAAGGTAACACTACTATTGCTATAGATAAAATAGAATATAATAACAAAACAATAGAATTCTTAAATAATCAAAATATTGAAACTTTACACAAAGATCCGACAGAAAAATATCAAAAACAAATTAAGCTAGCGTTAGAAAATTCAAAATCAATACTAAATCCAATAGAACAGAAATACCTCAATATTATGAACCCACAGCCTCCTAAATTATATTCTTTCATTAAACTACACAAACCGGATCACCCAATAAGACCTGTAGTTTCTTTTTATACAGCTCCGTCATATAAAATTTCAAAAAAACTGTTAGAGATTATTTTAGACCACACTAAATTTTCACCTAAATTTACCATAAAAAATACAATAGAACTAGTTAATAAAATACAACATTTTCAATTACCTAACAATTCCAGATTAATTTCATTTGACGTAAAAAATCTTTTTCCTAGTATCCCTCCTACAGAAACTTTTATTCTAGTAAAAAACCTTTTAGACCAAAATAGTACAAATCCAATAATTACATCTGAAATTTTACATCTTCTTGAAGTTTGCATAAACCAGGACTACTTTGAATTTAATAATAAAATATATACAAATAACAGTGCAGGACTTATAATGGGTAATCCTCTAAGCCCATTGTTATCAGATATTTTTATGGATCATCTAGAGACAAAGATTTCAAAACATCCCGTATTCAAACAGTTTTTATATTGGTGGAGATACGTAGACGACGTACTGGTATGTTTCACAGGAACTAACAGGCAACTCGACCAATTTTTATCATATATTAATTCAGTTCATAGTCATATTCAATTTACAATAGAAACAGAACAAAATCAATCCATAAATTTTTTAGATTTAAAAATTAGCAGACTTCAAAACAAACATGACTTCTCCATATTTCATAAACCTACCCATACTGACACGACTATACACAATTCGTCATCCCATCCAACACAACATAAACTGGCAGCTTATCATAGTATGTTACATAGATTAACAGAAATTCCGATGTCAAAAGACAACTTTGAGACAGAATTAAATATAATTAAACAAATAGCAGTAAACAACGGATACAACGAACAAACAATTAATAAAATGTTAAATCAAAAACTACACAAGAAAGCCCTGAAATTAGTATTTCCACCACCAGAGAAAAAACCCAATACCTTCTGCTCGATTACATATACAGGCAAAATAACAACAAAAATTGCCAAACACATAAAAAAGAAAGGAATAACACCAGCTTTCCGAACAAATAACAACCTAGGCAAATATATTAAAAATAACAAGAGCCAAAATAAAAAACACTTAAATAGTGGTGTATACAAACTCCAATGTGGCGACTGCCCAAAAACTTACATCGGTCAAACTGGTAGAAACTTTGATAAACGAATAGCAGAACATAAAAGGGCTTTCAAGAATAGAAAAACAGATTCGACATACGCACTTCACCTTCTAGATCATAATCATTCTTTTAATGACAAATTTAAAATTCTTCACATTCAAAATAAAGGCCTTAAGCTATCTTTGTTAGAATCTATGGAAATCAACAAATTAAAAAACACAGATATAATTCTGAATGACCAACTTGAGACAAACAGTTCTCCCCTCCTCAACCTATTTCATTAGAGACTATAAATTTGTAAACCCAAGCCAAAATAGATCACTTGAGAAAGGCAATCAGCCGAAACAGCTGTAGTGATAATATTTAAAATAAATTTTGTGGAAGTTTGAAAACAAAGTTTTCAGTGTTTTATTGTTACATATATTAGTTCCTTTAATTATTGTTCTTCGGTGTTCTTGTAAATACCTTGAAGGTTGATATTAAAATTATGTTATACATTTTAAACATGTGTTTTATGTTTTATATTTTTTAAGGAACATGCTACTTTCCCGAAAGATGGGAGGGCACGTGGTTCCAGTCTGGAGTAAGACAATCTATATTGATTGAAGGACCAAGACTGAGTAGCAAAGGCAGATGTGTAGGTTCAGAGGGAGACAAATTTTTGATACTGGATGAGTAAGTAAACAAATTTTTCAATGAATAAGTAACATTTTATTTCAGAAGCGCTATCAGGAAAGTTATGAAATTTATTTTACAAGAATTGTGTAATATGACCGATCTTTATGGAATACTGCGTTATTGTCAAGTTGAAACACTAGAAGCGAAATACCAGATAAATGCTCTAAAGCACATTACCTCGATACATAAAAAAGGAAATGGGAAGAAAGACGAAATCTATAGGATCATTAGTGTATACCTGCATAGATGAGCAGGTTGTAAAAAACACCGAAAGAAGCACTGAAAAAATCTATCCCAAATAAAATCGATGATAGGCAGGATTTACTACAGAAAGATCCTGCATAGACCACATAATATATCCACTTTTCCAATTAATTGGGAAAAGAATAGCAAAAAATAGATCGCTACACATGACATTTATTGATTTAAAAATCTCGCATGACATGGTTCTCAGGAAGCATAAGCAATTATGAAAAGATAATTAGGATAACGCAGGTTAATAGAATCCGTAAAAAAAACCTATAAAACAACAACAGGGCAAAAGTTAAAGCCGGCAGTAAATACTCAAACGAATTTAATACCACAAAAGGCTTCCTGTAGAGATATTGTACATCTCCGACGCTGTTCAAGATATTCCTAAAACAAATATTAAAGCCATGGAAGAGGAAATGTGAAGGTATGGGAATACCATTCCGAGGTGACTTAATCCTACAAAACAGATTTCACGATTATCCTAGTTAGCCATTTCTGAAATAATTTAAGTATTCCATGCATTTGTATTACCTTACACTGTATTATTAATAATATGTAATTGATAACAATAATAGTAACACTTGATAATTTTAGGAAAAAGACTTGTTATCGATGTGTAGTTATTCATGAAAAGCACATAAATGTCCTGCAATATAAAGAAAGTGAGTATAGCTTATTTATTAAAATGTTTTAGAATGATTGGCCAATTTAATAAACCATTAAACGCATTGAAGGCTTGTGGGAGGCCTTAATAATTACGTATAACATTGTCAACAATTAGGGTGGATATTTATTTGGTTATGATTTTAATTATAATTCAATAGTGCTTCATTAGTATAGCATGTCCGTATTTCAATATGCATAAACAGAGTGGACTAAAAGTCCGAAAACGCCTTATTATCTCTTAAATGGATGGTCTGAATTGTACAAAAACCGGAATACGCTTATCAGGCAACATATTTTAAATTGGATATTTGCAATGTTGCCAGATTTACCATTTTTCTTTACTAGTTCATCAGTATACAATAATTTCGATTTTATGTAGTCAGGAACATCTTAAAAAGATTAAACAAAAGCCTAGAGACGCCTAATCAACTCAATAATTTCTTTTATTCAAACTATAATAAAACAACCAAACAACTAAAACTAAAAAACATAGTAATTTACAGTTTACTACATTTCTAAATTAATGTCTATCTAATCAAATGTTCAAAATGTCTTGTGTTATTAATTTTACAGTATTCTAAACGATGGTGTCTATTACATTTCTCCATGTTTCTCAAGAAATTAATAAATTAATATGGACTATGGTCGATAACTGTATCATCGGTCTTGTGGTCTTATGTCAAGTAGGTATATTTATGCATATTTTTTGGCGATTGAGCCCATTTATGATTTTCTGGCCAAATTGTGTACATAGGTTTATAAGTCTATATCCGTCATTGTTTGTCACTTGTTCACCGAAGTTCCCTATTACTGAATGGACCACAGGAGTGATGACGTAGATTTTATTGACATCTGTCAGTTTCACTTTCCAAACAAACCTTGTTTAGTGTGGATAATTTGTATTTTTGTTTATTTTTTTATTTATTTTATAGAATCTTTCCGCTTTTTGCAATATTTAAGTATTCTAATAGTTAATACAACAATTTTACAAGGTTGTGTAAATAATAAAGCACATTGTTTTATGCTAATAGCTATAAAATGCATGTATCAATAAAGTAAGGTTAGAATTTCTTTAATTTAAACTTTTAAACTATATTTCATAGAAATATAACTCTGAATTATGATGGTATTATCGTAAAAAATACTATGCTTACAAGAAAAAGCAGCAGAGGAAGCAAAATGTTAACTTTATAGAAATTAAAAAGTCTTGAGATTTGACATTTCAACTTTTGTTTGGAAAGTAATAATGACAATGTGACAGTCTTGACGTCACACTCCTGCGGTCCATTATTATGTCTTCTTCCAGTTCCCCCGTTTAGATCGCGCATCATTATTATTTCTCGTGGATTGACTATTTTTGATAGAACGTCTTCCAGTTGTTGGTAGAACGTATATTTTTTTTTGTACTGATGTATCTTCATTGGGGGCATATACGCATAATATAGTCATTTTGTGTCCGTAGATGTTTAGGGACGTTAACTGCGACGTATACGCGTGCTTGATCGACTATGAGAAGGCATTTGACAGAGTTCAACATCAAAAGATGATAAACATTTTAAAAGAGGCAGACCTGGATGACAAAGACCTCAGAATAATTTCAGAACTCTACTGGAATCAGACCGCATACATGAAAATTAACGGAGAAGAAACAGATCACATAAAAATACTACGTGGAGTTAGACAGGGATGTATCTTATCGCCGTTGATATTTAATATGTACTCAGAAAAAATTTTTACCGAGGCTCTTTACGGAATAGACAAAGGCATCCTTCTAAATGGTGAAAAAGTAAACAATGTTAGATATGCTGACGACACCATGGTGATAGCAGATAGTTTAGAGGGACTTCAGAGGCTAATGGACAGAATAAACGAGTACAGTCAACAGTACGGACTAAACATTAATACCCACAAAATCAAACAAATGATTATCAGCAAGGAGAATATAAACGGGGCTCATCTATACATTAATGGGACGCAGATAGAGTGAGTAAAACAGTATTGCTACCTGGGAACTATTATAAACGAACAGTGGAGCAATGTACAGGAAAAAAAAGTGCCGCATAGGAAAGGCAAGAACAAAATGAGCGTCATCTTCAAAAGTCACAACATATCCCTTGATACAAAAATGTGACATTTGAGATGCTATGTTTTTTCTGTGTTGTTGTACGGGGCGGAGGAATGGACGCTTACAGACACCACTATTAAAAAACTTGAAGCATTTGAGATGTGGCTTTATAGAAGAATGCAGAGAATATCATGGACAGCAAGGATCATGAACAAGGAAGTTCTAGAAAAAATGAAGAAGAAACCAGAGATTGTGTTTACGATCAAACGCATAAAATTGCAATATCTGGGACACGTTATGAGAAATCAGCACCGTTACTCCCTGCTACAGTCTATATTGCAAGGTAAAGTCAAAGGTAAGCGAGGACCCGATCTTACGGTGCCTTAACCTTAAGGACGTTGGCCATTACATTTGCCCATTTAATCTTATTGGGCAGGACCCGGTAGAAGGAGAATGTCATGGCTGCGGAATTTAAGAACATGGTTTAAGAAAACCTCAACGGAGCTGTTTCGAGCCGCAGCGAGCAAGATTATGATTGCCCATATGATTTCCAACATCCGAAACAGATAGGAACCAGAAGAAGAAAAATAAGATGTTTAGAACCGCAGGTACTATCCTTTCATTAAATGCTTAGAGGTGTTTTTCGCTTATCACTACTCTTTTTTCCGGGCTTCGGACCGCCTGTATCGGTTGTAAATCTACACATGCAGAGTTTGGTTTATTATTAAAATTATTTAAAAAATAATAATTTTCATGTTTATTTGTTGATACTTTTATGATATTTGGTATGCTTTGATGACTCATAGCTTAGTGAGTTTTAAAATCTTAAGTTGGTATACTTCTTTATTAATACGTATATTTCAATAAAATTTGTGGCAAAGCTAGTTGGTGCCACTTTTAATCAAGTGGCGTAGTAATTAATAAAAACAATGTTTATAAAAATTCTCCAATTTCGACAAAGAAGTTTCGTAGTATGCCCGGGAATATGACAGTTTTCAGTATCTATATCATCTTTTTTTTTTAACTACTCTATTAATTGTCATTCAGCTTATATGATCGTTCCATTTTACTCTTCTATTTCTTATCCAGTTGTTTGTGTTCTTCAACTTGCATCTACGCCGTATATCTGTACTTCTAGCTCTGTCCCATAGTGTTTTACTATCAATTTTTCTAAGCATTTTCATCTCTGCTGTTTCTAACATCCTTTTTGTTCTCTCTGTGTCAGGTCGTGTTTCTACCGCATATTTCATTATCGGTCTGATGACTGTTTTGTGAATTCTGCCTTTCATTTCTTTCCCGATATTTTTATGGCGTATGGATTTGTTTTATTCAGGCAACCTGCGTCTCTGTTTGCTTTATTCAGTAAATGGATAAGGTCCTTTAATTTGACCCGCATAAATACCTTCTTAATGTTCAGAAAATAGATATGCCGGTTTATTAATTCAAATGATTTCTCTTGTACTTTTCTCAATATAAATATAGCTTTGATACATGATTTTCCTGACCTAAAACCTTGTTGTTCTTCTGCTAGTGTTATAAATTCATTCAATTTATTTGTTATTACTTTGGTTGTTAATTTTTGCGTTGTGTTTAAATTAAATCCTATGTAATTTTCCGGGTCCGGATCTTTGAAAGGAAGTATTAGGACGGTTGGTCTCCATTCTTAAGGAATTCTGTTCTATTATTTTTTGGATTAGTTTTAATAGTTGGTTGGTCAGATCTGGTCCTCCATACTTTAGAAGTTCGTTCGGGATTCTGTCCTCCCATGGTGATTTTCTATTTTTTAACATTTTGTTTTTGTTTTCTCTTCTTTACATTTTGTCTTCACTTCCTCTCTAAACCATTGTGTTTTGTTTTTTAATATGTTAGTGTTCGTTACTTTCCTTTCTCCAAATGATTCTGCTGCTACGTTAATTATGTCATTTTAGAGTTTTTCCAGCTTTCCTAGATGTTATCGTTTTCTAATATTTTATGCCTAGCGATCTTTTCTAATATTATTTTTGTAAATAAGTATTTAGTTAATTCCATGTTAATTCTTTCGACTTTGATTTTTGCTTGTGTTGGCGCCACTCTCTTGGGTGTGAAGTATTTTATGATGATTCTTGTTTTACATAATACTAGGCTATACCTCTGTATACCTCTGTTGGTTATAACATAATCTGTCATCGATCTTTGTCCACGGCTGTTATTGAATGTATAATTGTGTTTGTTTTTGTGGTCAAAAATTGTATTGTTTATTTTAAGTTCGTTGAGTACAGAAGTTTATCATCAATTCTCAATTTTCCTTTTTAACATTCTTATTATGTTTTGCTTAATTCCGAGTATTAGGTACTTGATTGCCTATTCATGTGTAAAAATTTCCCAATAATATCATTATCCCTCTGCATTGATCTACAACTTGTTGAAATTCATCATAAAACTTTTTCTTTATTGTTTGAAACTTGTTATTTTTTGGGCTATGTACTCTGATGATATTAGGTCTTCCTTCTCCATTCTTATCTTTGCTATTACCATCCTTTTTTATATGTATTTACACTGTTTGATGTGATTTTGGTATCTTTTTTGTATTAGTAATGCTTCACCTTCTTTGGCTCTGTTTTCTTTTGCGACTCCATTGTAGATTAGTTTGTATTCGCCCAATTTTAATTGTCTTTTCTTTATTTTTTTGTTTCCTGTAGAGCGCAAATGTCTATTTGTAGCTATATATGTGGACCAATTTATAAAATTCTTTATAATAATAATAAATCTTTATATATATAGTAAACTCTAATGAGTATAAATTTGTTTCGCCGAACGTTTTCGCCAAAGAGAATTAATTTGGCTTCTTCAGGGCTGAAAGAGAATAAATTATAATTATCTACCATATATTATCTATTAATAAACATTATTGGTCTTACCGTAACTAGAATTGTCGAGTTAGGATGTTATGAA